TTGATACAGAATCAAAACACAGAACTGAGATTGCTACGATCAGCAGATCATCAGATATCTGAACTGCTTTAGCAAGCGATACCGTTCCAGAAACTGCTAAGTCACTAACTGAACAATAGCCTAGAAAATAAATCACTGTATTTTGCTGCAAAAATTTTCTTCCGTTGATAAAAGTCTCAAAAAAAAATACATCTTATAGAAAAAGATATTTTAATGTTGTAAATTAGAATAATTTGTAAGTTGCAGTTGTCAGCTGATAAGAGAAAAGATATCTGTATAATTGACTGAAAAAATTGTTTAATATTACTTGCAATCTTACCAATTAATAAAATTATTTCAAATAAAATAGATAAATAATTGAGTAAGTAGCAACCTAAAAAAATACCCGACAGTTTTATAGTTGAAAAGTGCTTCACTGATATTTTAAAATCGATCTTATTGCCGTCAACTTTGGCAGCTGAGAATAATCAAAATAAATTGATATAAATTTTCATATGAATTAAGTAACAGTGCTAAAGAGATGTTATGCTTAAACTTTTCTCATATCCCCAAAAAAAAAATTGCTATTTGTCGTATTTTTTTTTTCACAGCGGTTAAGACAAATTACGATGCCAACCTTTTAAATGAGTATGAGAGAAATATTTGTGAAATTTGAAATTTATAAACTGTTGCGTTGATGTAATAATGTCTTTAATTCGAATCTGCAGGTGACATTACGGTGTTTATAATTGTTTTCATTAAAATAAATCCTAAGCTTGAGCTAAGTTACAAACTCTTAAACAGCTAAATTAAATTTTTTTAAAGCCAAAAACTTAACGACTCATTTGACTTTTGTAAAAATGTAGGAAAAAAAAACAAAAAGGATACTTCAGAATCTGTTCCTGTCATTAAATAGGTTTTTGTATAGGTCTTCAAAAGATTTTTTCTTGAATTAAACCTTGCTAAAATGTTGTTCCATGTCACGTCGTCAATGTAAATAGAATAAATTTTTTGTGACAAAATAAAGAAAATCTTCTTCTTATTTCAAAGATAAATGTTAAATTTGCTAACCAATCAAAAGTTCAAATGTAGAGTTTGATTCAAAATTTAGGCATGTTTCCGCGTGAAATTGACAGCGTTTTAATGCTTTATCGTTTTGATGCGAAAGGTGATTTAGTGGTTTATGGACCTGACAAAGGAAAGCTTGTCTTAGATCTACTCTATGATACTGGGCGCCTTCATCTTCCTGAGTACTGCTGTTGGTTGACTTATCGCTACAGAAGTAATTATAACATTATTAAAATAATTGTCACAAACTACAGTTTTTATTTGTTGTTTCAGAAAGAAATTGCTGAATATAATTGCTAAGCTAATAGCTAACACTGTTTCTGATACTTCAAACCTATTCAAAACAGTTGGTCTAATTATTAAATGACTCTTTTTCTAAGCAATAAAAGGTAAACAATTCTCTGAAAACTAGCTTAAAAAATTTTTTTTTTAGCAGAAACGCAGAGAGGAAAGGTAGGTGTAGCATGCGAAAAATGTCCTGAGAAAGGAAGAAATTTCCTGATCTGTAAGGTTAGGCAATATTAAAAGTATTTTCTTCTGTCACAGATACTAGTGAAGAAACAATTTGTCATCTTTTTTGTTTTTTTTTGCTGATATTTAGGAGAAGAAGAAGAAGAAGAAGCTATTGTAATTATAATTAACTATTTAAATCATTGTAGTTTTTTTCGTCTGAGTATTTGCGAGGGAGAAAAAAAAAAGAAGAATAAACGTTCTGAAGTTCAAGTAAAATGTTTGAAACATTTTACTCCTCAAACTGATTGCTAAAAATTGAGCTAAAATATGCGTGAACACCACATTGAGATTTTCTAACTGATGCAGAACAAAGTTCTATCCTTCTGTTGTACTGTGCTTTTTTTTTACACCACAGTTGCTCGTCAACCTACGTTATAAAAGTTCTCTTGTTTGAAAACATATCTTTTTTTATCAAGCTCGTTTCAAAGCAAAAAAATTTTATAACTTTTGGAACATTTTGGTTAGGGTGTGCTCGAAATAATGACTGCTTAAAAACGTGAAAATCAAACGAATTGCATGGACGAGGTTTTAAGTAAAATTCATTGGTAGAACAGTAAGTAGAACGAGAGCAATTCTGTTGAGGACTGAGTATGAGTTATACTATCCAAATATTGTAGAACTGCATTTACTGTCGAAGTCAAAAAGAACAAAGTTTTCTGAAAGTTGCAGTAAAACAATAATTAGGTAGTAGTAAATGTATCTTTCTTTTTAGATGTTTTCTTAAAGCTTTCAATGGTTGTATAACTTAAATTTTGAATTTTTACTGTTAACCAGTCAATTCATCTAGGAAGAGTTAAGGGCTACAGAAAATGCCGATTATTTTTA